TTCTAGAAGAGGCACAGTGAATTCAATTTTAATGAAAACGATAAACAGGATTGAGGTGACAAAGAAGGAAGTTTCTTAATATATCCCTTAACATTACTTTGATCACAGTGGGCCCCTTGCTGCCAAGGGTTCTATATATAGTAAATGTTAGACTGACTTCTAAGGTGAACCTTTTCCTGTTTCAAGTGCATTGAGCTCTAGTAAAATGGTTTTGAGTGGAAAATCACTGGCATGGATATGTGAAGATAGGAATTAATGAGGCAGCAGAAGCAGCATCCTACTTTACCGCTTTTTCTCAATCTAACTCATATCCCATGTTTTCCCTTCATGTTTTTTTTCTCCCTTTTATTAGAAGCAAAATCCAATTATTGAGACTCTAATTTCAGAAACTAAATTCCTGAAGTTTGATGATGGGCAAATACACTTCTTTGAGGCTGAGCAGAGATCACGTCTTTGGTTTTGCAAGGCATTTAGTGAGGCTACAGATGATTCTTTTTGTCTTTATGAAATGCTATTAATTTGATTGTATTGTATCTAGAAGAAAACCGATGTGTAAATTTGCCATTAATATAAAAAAAACTTACCTAATGTAATTATTCTAAGAGAAACGTTTTCTTCTGTGATTTTCTTTTTTCCTTTTGTGGTGTTGGGAATTGAACCCAGGGCCTAGGGTCCGGTGCATGCTAGATAAGCACTCTCTACCTCTGAGCTACATCCCTGGCCTACTTTTTTTTTTTTGTTATTTGTTTTTTTGTTAGAAGAGTGAATGTAGAACATTCTAGGGAATGGTCTTGGTATGAATCTATTGACTATGTTCAGCAGAGCAGAGAAACCTCCTATTACATTGTGGTTGTTCAAAAGTCTTTTTTTTCCCCCCTATCTGCTCATCAGAAGAAAATAGATCTGTTTTAGCTTCTTGCTAAAGGTTTTTTGAATGCCTCACAAACATTCTGCTAATACACTGAAATTTTACCTAGTCTAGGAAAAGTGAACTTTCAGACGGATAAGTATGGATGGCTGACAGATAACGAGCATTGTGTATAGTTTGCAGGATCCCCCAGTGTTCAAGATACGGGGGGCTCCAGGGACAACTTGGCTCACCTAGGGTGTGAACTGGGCCTCACATGCAGGGCTTAAGGGCTGCCATGAGTCCATTAAAGCTATTTAGTCCTTACCTTCTGAGTGGCTTTAGAATCTCAAGTAAAATTGAGCAATATGTATGTCTTTGAATCATTCATAGAATGTATTAGTGTTTGCTAATGGGAGTGATGGAAGTGAGACATTGGAGAGGCATGGCAGGCCAGGATATTCTTCTTTTTTTTTTCTTTTCTTTTTGTCAGTCGTGGGGCTTGAACTCTAGGCCTGGGCACTGTCCCTGAGCTCTTCAGCTCAGGGTGAGCCCTCTACCACTGCTTGAGCTATGGCGCCACTTCCAGTTTTCTGATGATTAATTGGAGATAAGAGTCTTACGGACTTTCCTGGACTTTCCTGCCCGTGCTGTCTTTGAACTGTGATCCTCAGATCTCAGCCTCCTGAGTAGCTAGGATTACAGATGTGAGCCACCGGAGCCTGGCCTGGCCAGGATTTTTAATGTGGAGCTCCGGTCTTAGCCTCTCACTCACCCAGTGGCTGTATTAATTGAGACCAGAAGTCGCAACTCTGGGACATGGTCAGTGCGGCTTCTTCCTTGTCACTCCTAATGTTTCTCCTGCTACTACATTTTAATAAAAATATTCATGGCCTCATCAATGTGGGTAATAAGTATGTTTAACTGGGACTTTTTTCCTCAAAGGTTAAGGATTCGCAGCAAACTATGCCTATGGTTTTAACGTAGACAAAGCATGTGCATGCTTTATTTGAGATAAAGCTGAAGATTCTTTTCCATTGCTGAACAAGTTTGTCACTTCTTTTTTTTTTTCCTCTTTGCCTTTGGAAAGTTTCACATTAACAGCATGAGAACTTAAAAATACAGTTGATGTTGAAAGAGCTTAACTAAATATTTTAAATTGGTGGTGTTGGAAAGAGATCCTGTAAAAATCCAATTAAACTTTAGAAAGCCCTATCCTGTTGAAATATAACTTGAAGGAAGTGAGTTTGGTTTCCCAGAAGTACTGTGCATAGTGTTTCTGGCTGAGGAAAAAAGGCTTCTACTCTGCTGTTTGGCTAGAAATTGGGTACCAGCTTCCTCTACAATGTTTTACTTGAACAGTGTTGACAAACTTGAACAAATCCCATAGAAACTGCCCCAAGTGGGGAATAGTTGTCTTGCTTTTATAGTAAGACTTGGCCCCAGAAACCAGGGCTCCAGACACTGGTTGTATTCTTGGCTAAATAACCCATAGATTATTATTGCAAGCAAAACCCCAAATGTTTTAGGAACTTTAATGGCTACCGTATTTCAACCAATCAGTAAAGTAAATTAAAAAATAGTGGTTCAGTTTATTACTTCCTAGCCAGTAAAAATAGTGAACAAAAAGAGTCTAGTGTCCCCTGTTTCTTAAATAAACTGCAATTCAGTTCTCTTGCTATTTTAGTTATTAAAGTCAAAAGACTTTGGGCTCTTTAGGAAGTTTTTTCCCCTTGCCTCAGACATCAGAAATAAGTCTTTTTTTCCCCTACTAAATAAATGCAAAGTATTTAAGGAATATGTTTGTTTCATTGCGTAATGTCCACAAGAAACTAATATTTCTGTGTAGAATTTTTCTGTTTGGCTTACATTTGTGATCAGAATAGCTGTATTTGCTACTGGAACTAAAAATGTATTAAATACATTCGAAGTGAAGTTAAGCAAAATAAAAGTGGGTTGTCTCTTATGTTACTTAAAAGGTTAAGTGTATTAGTTTAACCTTCTTCACAATTTACTATGAGAAAGGACAAATCCAGAATTGAGATATCCATCCTATTTAGGGATAAAAGGTTTTGCTGTATAGCCTTAGGTTTGCCTCAAACTCATGATCTATTGCTTCAGTCTTCCAAGTGCTGGGATTATAGATTTGTACCACTACATGCAGTGTTTCTGGCTGAGGAAAAAAGGCTTCTACTCTGCTGTTTGGCTAGAAATTGGGTACCAGCTTCCTCTACAATGTTTTACTTGAACAGTGTTGACAAACTTGAACAAATCCCATAGAAACTGCCCCAAGTGGGGAATAGTTGTCTTGCTTTTAAAATGCAGCGACAGGAACCCAAAATGGAATTAAAAATAAATGTGCATTAGGTCAGCACCAGAAGGAAGGGAGAAGACAGGTAGCTGTGGGTGCAGATCATCAGAAGTGAGATGAGATCTCCTGAGAAATAATTGGCACCAGCTTCACACAGCCAATTCTAGCCCCTTTTCTTTTTTTCCATTTCTTTTTTTTTATTGTGAAAATACTGTACAGAGGGGTTACAATTACATGAGCAAGATAATGAGTACATTTCTTATCAAGTATTGTAGCCTCCTCCTTTGTTTCCCCTTCCCATCCCATCCTCCCCCCCGCCCCCCACTCAACCTTCCTCTCCCCCCCACTAAAGTTGTGAAGTTCGTTTCCGACATAACAACTTGTACGTCTCATTGTTGCAATGTAGCCCCTTTTCTTTCTTTCCTTTTTTCCTTTCTTCCTTCCTTCCTTTCTTTCTCTCTCTTTCTCTCTTTCTTTCTTTCTTTCTTTCTTTCTTTCTTTCTTTCTTTCTCTCTCTCTTTCTTTCTTTCTTTCTTTCTTTCTTTCTTTTTCCCCCTGTAGGATTTCTGAGTTTTAGTGGTTATTGGGATAGTAAAATTACACTGATAGGGTCATGTGGAAACTCAGATGTATGGGTCATGTCTTTTAGAATTTAGGTTCATTTGGGTAATTAATTCTACAGAAGTGTTGAGCAAATCTGAGGTTCTTCCTTTTCAGAAGAATGTTTCAAGGAAGTCAGGGAACAAGTACTCATATGAACCATTCAGATCTTTCAATATGCAAATCAGCAGCAGCAGAACTAGTTCAGTTAGAACGAAGTTTTGAGGTACATACAAGGAAGTAGATAATTTTAAATAGGATTGATTCTAAACAAATTAAGACTAAATTAATACTAAGTTGTGAACGTTCTGCAGCGAGGAAACTTGGGGGAACACTAAAAATAAGACAAATTGTAGGTAAAGGGGTTTAAATATGGATTCATCATGGAAGACAGGGCTAAGGACTTTTAGATGGTTTTACATGTACATTTGGTTTAATTCACAGTTGTTTTGGAACTGAAGCATGCTGGTTCTGTGCCTAGAACATAAGACCTGATTATGATGGCTCTTCATGATCTTTTGGGTGCAATATTTGACCAAAAATAATTTAACATCAGCAAATGAATCATCTGTTTACCAATGTGAATTCAGCACTAACCAGACTTGTGGTCTGATGGACTTTACTAAGTAAATACTAAATGCATAAAAAAAGTTTTACGGCCAATCTGCTCAAGAAGTATTCTAGTTTTGTTTTCCTTCTGTCTGCAAAAAAGGGGGTGAATGTATGTGTCCTTGTGAATTAGAGAGATTAAAATGAGAATGGCTGATAGTAAATTGGGGGCCATGGTTGGTATGCTGAGTTGCTGTGGTGCCTAGAATTCACCGTGGGGGTGGTCCCATCACCCCCATGTTGTCTTCCCTGGCCCAGTAGCCTTTTACTCCTACGGTAATTGGGGTTGGTTTATGTTGAAGCCCCCGGCCCCCAACTGGTCTGATCATTTCATGGACTTTGGCTGCTGCAGCAGTCTATAAAAAGAACCCCGAAGTGTTTTGTATTTGCCTCCAGTGCCTGTTCCCCAAAGACACATAAGGATGGTTTTCTTTCTGTAACTCAAGGTTCTATATCATCCTGAGCTGACCTTTCCCTAGATGCCTGGGGTGGTGGGTGTGTAATAGTAATTTCCTTCGTTTGGCCCATGACAGTAAAGCTCAGCTCGCCCTGTGGGACCAGTGATGTGACATGATGTGATGATGATGTCTGGCGCCCCGGCAGCCTCCTCACACGCTTTGTTCCTCCTCACAGGTGAGAAGCCCTACAAGTGCACCTGGGAAGGCTGTGATTGGAGGTTCGCCCGCTCGGACGAGCTGACCCGCCACTACCGCAAGCACACGGGTGCCAAGCCCTTCCAGTGCGCCGTGTGCAACCGCAGCTTCTCGCGCTCCGACCACCTGGCGCTGCACATGAAGCGCCACCAGAACTGAGCGCCCGGAGGCGCGGGCCCCGCCGCCCCGGCTCAACTCCACACTAACTATTCCTATAAAAGAGAGAACGAAATACTGGAAAATGTATATTTTGTATATTTGAGAAAACAGGGAATACATTGTATCAATACCAAAGTGTTTGGCTGTTTTCAGAGTCTGGAATGCTGGCTGTGAACGCAGGTTTCATCTCACACAGGCAGCCACGCGTGAGCGTGGGCCGGGGTGGAGGGAGGGGCGCGCGCGTGTGTTCGAGGCTGGGCACCCTCGTTCTTCGCGACAGTGTTTAGTAAATCAAGTTTCAGTCACCGGAAGGATGGAGCAGGATGTCAAGATTTTTACTTGACGTGGAATAATTTCTTCCTCAATATTGTATAATTCCTTAGAGGTAAGGTACGCACTGTACCTGGCAATTCACAAATAGCCATTGAACAAATACTTTTCTTTTTTATATGAGTTGCCTATATTTGCTATTGAAAATTTTGTAAATATGCAAATCAGCTTTATAGGTTTATTACAAGTTTTTTAAGGTTCTTTTTTGGGGGCGGGGAGGGAGTCACACTTCTTTCAAAAATAACCATGAATACATTTACAAATAGCATTTGGGGGTTGGATAACCTCTCCAAATATTATTACCAAATTCAGTTCTTTGGGGAAAGGAATAATCATTCGAATGAGTTTTAGAAAGGAAATCTCATGCACTGATTAAAGCAGGATTATTTTAAATATGGAAGATGTTTTATATGAATTATAAATTCAAGCTTCAAAATCGTTACAGTATGCAAAAGTTAAACCTCACAATAAGCTAAATACAGTATCGGTTTTTGTTTTTGTTTTTTTTCCAGAAGGACATGTGCTTTTCACATAGAAACATTGAATTTATGACGCAGTTTTCGTATCCTGAGATGCTTGTGCAGTACTGTTGGTTAAATGACAATTTATGTGGAATTTGCATGTAATATACAGTGAGACACAGTAATTTTATCTGAATTACAGTGCAGTGCAATTAGCTGTTAATACTGACTCAGTGTCTGCCTTTAATATCAATGATAGGTTGAAAGCTTAAGAAAGCAAGCGCTATTCCATATATGCAATAGAAAATAGTAATGTGATGTCCACGCTGTTAACCAAAGGGCAGAATAATAAGCAAAATGCCAAAAGGGGTCTTAATTGAAATGAAAATTTAATTTTGTTTTTAAAATATTGTTTATCATTATTTATTTTGTGGTAATATAGTAAGTTTTTTTAGAAAACAATTTTCATAACTTGGTAAATTATAGTTTTGTTTGTTAGAAACGTTGCTCTTAAAACGTGTAAATAGACAACATGGTGTAAATAATTTTGTAAGAGGCTTCAAAATGTTTATACGTGGAAACGTACCTACATCAAAAGCATAAACTCGGTTGCTGTTTTGCTTCTTTTCTTCCCTCTTATTTTTGTATTGTGGTCATTTCCTATGCAAATAATGGAGCAAACAGCTGTATAGTTGTAGAATTTTTTGAGAGAATGAGATGTTTATATATTAACGACAATTTTTTTTGGAAAATAAAAAGTGCCTAAAAGATTTATGTTGTCCCTTTCTTTACCTACCATAGTGAAGAAACTTGGGTCTGATGAAGGTAGCTGATAATGAACAACCAACTCTGATGCGTTCATAGGAAGAGCATGTTGAACTGTGGTGGGGTGTGCCTGTGATCCCAGCATGTAACATAAGAGGATGGGCTAAAATCAGCCTCAGCTCTAAGACCTGTGTCAAAACAACAAAGATATATTAAGATAGAAGGCAGAAGAAGGGGGCTTTTTTTTTTTTTTTTAAACTCAAGGCCTTGCTCTCTTTTGCCCAAGATGTACTGAACCTCTTGAGCCGTGCCATTTGTTCTGGCCTTTTGCTGGTTGCAGAGGAGAGTCTCAAAGACTTGCCAGGGCTGGTTTTGAATTGAGATCTTCAGTTCTCAACATCCTGAGTAGCTAGGATTATAGGCATGAGTCAGGTATAGTTTTTTATATTGTTTTGTTTTTGCCAGTCCTGGGGCTTGTGAACTCAGGGCCTGGACACTGTCCTTGAACTTATTTTTGCTCAAGGCTCATATTCTACCACTCGAGCCACAGCGCCCAGGCGCTGTCCCTCAGCTCTTCAGCTCAAGGCTAGCACTCTACCATTTGAGTCACAGCGCCACTTCCGGCTTTTTTTTTTTGCTTATGTGGTGCTGAGGAATTGAACCCAGGACTTCAGTCATGCAAGGCAAGCGCTCTACCATTGAGCCACCTTCCCAGCCCCACTTCTGGCTTTTTCTGTTTATGTGGTAACAGGAATCAAACCCAGGGCTTCATGCTAGGCAGGCAGTCTACCACTAAGCCACATTCCCAGCCCCAGACATAGTTGTTTGTTTTGCCAGTCCAAGTGCTCAAACTTGGGGCCTGGACACGTCCCTGGACCCCAGTGCTCAAGGCTAGCACTCTGCCACTTGAGGCACAGGGCCACTTCTGGCTTTTTTGAGTATTTTTTCGGAATCTCACAGGGACTTTTCTGCCCAGGTTTGCTTTGAACTGCGATCTTCAAATCCCTGCCTTCTGAGTAGCTAAGATTGCAGATGGGAACCACCCGTGCCCAATATAAGCACAGTTTTTTGAGTACTTAACTGTGAACACCTCTGTAACTTCATTAATACTTCAACACTACAGGGTAAACTTGAAGGTGCTAGTTGCGACATTTTATCTGGAAAAAAGAATAGGACATATTTATAATTTTATTACTAAGGCATTGTACAGAGCTGTTAAACCATTTCACAAGTTAGGTAATAAGTATATTAATTTTTTTGTCACCTTTCCCCCCAGTTTACCCCTTACATCCAAGAATTGGAGTTTGAAAAGTTGTATCTAGGGGCTGGGAAGGTAGCTCAGTGGTAGAGTACTTACCTTGCATGCATGAGGCCAAAAAACATCTATTTCAGTACTGGGAATCAAACCTAGAGCCTTGTGTATGGTTAGCAGGCATTCTACCAGTGGTAAAAGTTGAATTTGTATAATAACAATGCCTCTGTCTTCATTCATTTCCAATACCGTTCATCAATGGAAGAACTGGGAATCCTTAGAGGAACGGCGATTCCAGGCCTGGGGTGAGAAGTAGGCAAGCTATACCTTCAGTGCTTGAGAGTAAGCGATTGAAAATAATTGACAATGCTGGGACTATCTCAAAGCAATAACATTTTTCAAAACAAAATACCACACAGTTTCAAAGAAGGGAGATAAAGAGAACTACAGATAAGGGCCTATTGAAAGTAACAAAATACATGACTATCCATATTGATATAAGTAAGGCAGAAGAGACAAATCTGTTAAGAAGTTGTCTTTTTTCCCAGTTTTGTGCCAGGACTGAACCTCAGTGCTTTGTGTTCTCATTTGGCCTTTTTGCTCAAGGCTGATGCTCTACCATTTGAACCACACCTCCACTTAACTGCTTTTTGCTAGTTAAGTGGAAGCAATAGTTTTTTTTATAGATTTCTCTGCCCAGATTGGCTTCAGACTGAGATCCTCAGATCTCAGCTTCCTGAGTAGCTAGGATTGTAGGAGTGAGCCATTAGAAAACATCCCAATTAAAATAATTTTTTGGGTTTTTTGGGGAGCGGGGGGTGGGGTTTGAAATCTGTTCCTGGGCGTTGTCCCTCAGCTCTTCAGCTCAAGGTTAGCACTCTACCACTTGAGCCACAGTGCCACTTCTGGCTTTCTAAGCCGTTTATTGGAGATAAGAGTCTCACAGACTTTCCTGCCCAGGTTGGCTTTGAACTGCAGTCCTGAGATCTCAGCATCCCGAGCAGCTAGGATGACAGGTATGAGCCACAAGTTGTAGATAACCCACCCTCCAAAGAATTGCATCTAGTTCTCTGTTCCTTAATTGTGGTTTGCACACTGACTTGCTCAGTGGGGGGGTGAGGGGAAAGCCATTACAGTGGAGAACTCTGTCAACACTACCTCAGCCAGATGATCAAGGGTCACATCAACAGTGATAAGTGGTGCTGATAATGTGTACCCTTGATATGATGTGATGAGAATGGAACTTGGCCCTTGTGGTCTTCCTCCTTAGAACGCAACCTCAATAAGCATGAAAAACACATGAGGGAGATTGCAACTGGGTATTGCACAAAATAACCTGACTACTACTCAAAACTGTGGCATGGAAACACATCTGAAGCTATTAAAAGTCAAGGGAAGCTGAAGAGGAGACATGACTAAATGCAATATAGTGATAATGGAAAATAGGCAGCGTGCATTCATTTTGACAAATGTATCACACTAACACACTGTTGGCTGCATGGGGTGATCCCAGCAATTGGGGGCCTGAGATAGGAGGATCTAGAGTTTGAGGCCAGAAGGAAGGAAGGAAAAGAGGAATGGGGTGTGGTTACAGGAATTTTATTACCTTTGCTATAGTTGTAGAAAGTTAGAAGTACCTTATTTAAAATTTAAAAAGGAGAGGCTGGGAATGTAGCTTAGTGGTAAAGTGCTTGCCCAGCGTGCATGAAGCTGTGAGTTCAATTCCTAAGTACCACATAAACAGAAAAAGCCGGAAGTGGTGCTCTGGCTCAAGTGGTAGAGTGCTAGCCTTGAGCACAAAGAGGCTCAGGGACAGTGCCCAGGCCCTCAGTTTAAGTCCCAGGACCAACAAAAAGAAGAAGAAAAAAAAAAAGGGGCCAGAATGCTGGTGACTCATGTCTGTCATCTGAGTTACTCTGAGGAGATTGCTTCAAAGCCAACCTGGGCAGGAAAGTCTGTGAGACTCTCATCTCCAATTAAGCACCCAAAACAGCCATATGTGGAGTTGTGACTCAAACGTTAGAGCATTAGCTTTAAACAAAAAAGTTCAGGGACAGCACCTAGGCCATGAGTGCAAGCCTAGGACCAGCATCAAAAAGAAAAAGAAGCTAGATGCCAATGGCTCATGCATGTTATCCTAGCTATTCAGGAGGCTGAGATTTGAGGATCGAGGTTCAAAGTCAGCCTGGGCAGGAAAGTCCATGAGATTCTTATCTCCAATAAACCACCAGAAAACCGAAAGTGGCTCTGTGG